AGAGGCAGCTAAGCTCTGGGTCAAGACTGTGCTTTTGGCCTTGGGTGCTGAGCCTTGGCCTGGTTTCTCCTGAAGGCCTGACATGTCAGGAAGATGTGGACGAATGCCTGTCGGAGCCCTGCCTCCATGGCGGGACCTGCGAAGACACCGTGGCGGGCTACATCTGTTGGTGCCCAGAGGCCTGGGGTGGACGTGACTGTTCCGTGCAGCTCACTGGCTGCCAAGGCCACACTTGTCCGCTGGCTGCCTCCTGCATCCCCACCTTCCAGTCAGGGGTCCACAGTTATGCTTGCCGCTGCCCACCTGGTACCCATGGACCTTTCTGTGGCCAGAATACCACCTTCTCCGTTGTGGCTGGGAACCCTGTGCGGGCTTCGGTGCCAGCTGGTGGCTCCCCAAGTCTGGCACTGAGGTTTCGTACTACGATACCTGCTGGTGCTTTGGCCACTCGCTCTGATACTCAGGGCAGCTTGGAGCTGGCACTGGTGGAGACCACGCTTCAGGCCACACTCTGGAGCCACGGCAACAATGTGTGCATCCTGAGGCTGCTGGACCTGCCCCTAAACAACGGCCACTGGCACCGAGTGGAGGTGATGCTCCGCTTTGGGGTCCTGGAGATGCGGCTCTGGCACGAGGGCTGCCCTGCCCACCTCTGTGTGGCCTCCAGTCCTGTGGCCCCGCCTCCTACGGCTTCCCTGGCCCCGACGCCTGCTGGGTTCTGCTCCACGCAGCTGGGTGGTGTGGCCTTTACGGGCTGCCTCCAGGACGTGCACGTGGACGGGCATCTCCTCCTGCCTGAGGATCTCGGCGAGAATGTCCTCCTGGGCTGCGGGCGCCAGGAGCAGTGTCAGCCTCCGCCTTGTGCCCACGCAGGGGTCTGCGTGGACCTGTGGACTCACTTCCGCTGTGACTGCCCCCGGCCCTATAGCGGTCCCACATGTGCTGATGGTGAGGAACGAGCCAGGTGGGCCCCAGGGCAGGGGCTGTGCCTGCCCCCAGCCCACAGGCCTCATGCCCGGCACCCTCTCTCCCTGCAGAGGTTCCTGCTGCCACTTTTGGCTTGGGGGGCACCCTGAGCTCTGCCTCCTTCCTGCTCGACCAGCTGCCAGGCCCCAACCTCACCATGTCCTTCCTCCTCCGCACCCGGGAACGTGCTGGCCTTCTGCTCCAACTTGCCAACGATTCAGTAGCTGGCCTGACAGTGTTCCTGCGTGAGGGCCAGATCCGGGCTGAGGTGCTGGGCAGTCCTGCCCTGGTGCTTCCCGGGCGCTGGGATGATGGGCTCCGCCACCTGGTGACGCTCAGCTTTGGGCCTGATCAGCTGCAGGGCTTGGGGCAGCAGGTGCACGTGGGCGGGAGGCTCCTCCCTGCTGACGCCCAGCCCTGGGGTGGGCCCTTCCGAGGCTGCATTCAGGACCTGCGACTCAACAGCCTCCACCTCCCCTTCTTTCCACCGTTGCTGGAGAACTCCAGCCTGCCCAGTGTGCCGGGCAGCAGGCGGTCCTGGAACCTCACCATGGGCTGTGTCTCCGAGGACACGTGCAGTGTGAGTGCCACAGGGAAAGGGTGGGTCCTTTTTCCGGGATCCATCCTGCTTCGCTGGAGGTTAGCATGTCCTTCTACTGGTCAGGTCGGCACCAGGAGGTAGAGTGCCCACCCAAGGTCCCAGTGCTGGAGAGAGACAGAGCAGAGTTCACTTTCATCTCCTCTCTGGCCAGCTGCTCTTGCCCTAAGGTAGTCTCCATACCTCTCCTCTCAGTCCTAATCTGAGATAGACACCCTGACCCAGGCAGAGGGCTGCCCAAGCCTTTCTGCGAGAGTTGCTTGGGGCACAGGGACACCCAGGTTCATGAACAAAGCACCAACCAGCTCTAGGATTGGAATAGCCTGGGTGTGAACTCTGGCTCCTCTATTTACAGGCTAGGTGACTCAGCAAGTGATTTCTCCTCTCTGAGCCTCAGTTTCCTCATCTGTAAAATGGGAACGCTAGTTACTTTTCTATTTGTTTGTCAGGAGGTAATGTATCTGTACTAGGTGCTCAGTGAAGAACCACTGCAAGGATGGTTATGGTGGGGCGATGCTAGCCCCAGGCCTGAGCCAGTCCCTGCCCTGATTCTCCTGCAGCCTCAGCCCTGTCTCAATGGTGGGACTTGCCTTGTCTCCTGGAATGACTTCCACTGCACCTGCCCTGTTAACTTCACTGGGCCCACATGTGCCCAGCAGCTGTGGTGTCCTGGCCAGCCCTGTCTCCCGCCTGCCACCTGTGAGGAGGTCCCTGATGGCTTTGTCTGTGAGTGCCTGCCCTGGAAAGCCCACATGCTGGGTGCTGGACACCCAAGCTGGGTTAGATCCCACCCCTGCCTTCAGGACTCAGAGACAGTGGACCAGGATGCCAACAGCCCCAGCCCAGTGTGGTTGGGCCACCGCATCCAGAAGGACAGGCTTTTTGGAGGAAGAGAGCACTTGCTAGGTTTTCAAGGGCAAATAAGACTCTGACAGGGCACAGGGAAGGACATTTCAGGAAGGGGGCAAAGCATGTGCAAAGGCATGAGGTTTATAAGAACTGAAACACAAGTAGAGGTATCAGCGTTGCTAGGGTCCTTGAATGCTAGGCCAGGCAGCTTGGGACTTTTTGCCAAGGGCAATGGGGAGCCATGGGAGGACCAGCAGGAGAAGACCATGGCCAGCAGTTTTAGAAGATGACTGTGTTATAATATTAAATTGATTGCAGTGAAGAGTGAGCCACGGTGATGACACAGGGCCACTTCACTAAGGAGAGAAGGAGGCAGATTTTCCAAGGTGTTATCATTGCCTGGTCTGTGACCTGGAGGGCAGGGTGGGCACAGGAGGGTAGGTCTCCCCAGCCCGGAGCTGGTTCTTTGGCGGTAGAGAGTTATGAGGTGGGGGGAACGGTTCCTGGGATTAGATGATAGGTGGGTGTGTGTGCCCCCGCCCCCAGACCGCGGAGGTGGGGGGAACGGGGGTTGGCAGGCTGGTCCCCGCATCACCCAGGTGTGCTTGGGCTGGGCTGGGTACCGATAGGCCGTCCTCTGACTCTCTCTCTCCCTGCAGGTGTGGCTGAGGCCACGTTCCGCGAGGGACCCCCGGCGGAATTCAGCGGGCACAACGCGTCATCCGGGCGCGCGCTCAGCGGCCTCTCTCTGGCCTTCCGCACGCGCGACCCCGAGGCCGGGCTGTTGCGCGCCGCGGGCGCCCCCGACACCGTCTGGCTGGCCGTGCGCAACGGCTCGCTGGCGGCCGGCGTGCGCAGTGGCCCCGGCCTGCCCGGGGCGGTGCTGCCGGCGCCCGGGCCGCGCGTGGCCGACGGCGCCTGGCACCGCGTGCGCCTGGCCATGGAGCGCCCCGCGGCTTCCGCGTCGCGCTGGCTGCTGTGGCTGGACGGCGCGGCGACGCCCGTGGCGCTGCGGGGCCTGGCCAGCGACCTGGACTTCCTGCGCGGCCCGGGCGGCGCGCGCGTCCTGCTGGCCGAGAACTTCACGGGCTGCCTGGGCCGCGTGGCGCTCGGCGGCCTCCCGCTGCCCCTGGCAGGCCCGCGGCCCGACGCGGCCCCTGGCTCCCGGGAGCCCTTCTCGGCCTGGCCCGGCGCGCCGGTTCCGCGCCTCGGCTGCCGCGGTGCGCCCGTGTGTGTCCCCTCGCCCTGCCTGCACGGCGGCGTCTGCCGCGACCTCTTCGACGCCTTCGCCTGCGCCTGCGGCCTGGGCTGGGAGGGTCCGCGCTGCGAAACCCGCGCCGACCCGTGTCGCTCAGCGCCCTGTGCCCGCGGCCGCTGCCTCACGCGCCCAGACGGCCGCTTCGAGTGCCGCTGCCCACCTGGCTTCGCGGGCCCGCGCTGCCGGTGCGCACGGCCAGCCGGGGGCGGCATGGGTCCGAGGGGTCCGGCGTTTACGGGGCAGGGGTGGGGATCCCGGGGGCGGGGGGTGGGTCAGACTAGTCCGGAAGCCCGGGTGCGGATGCGCTGGTTCCGTGGGCCAGCCACGTCCCTTCTCTGAGCCACCGCGCTGTTATCTGTAACTTGGGAACAGCAGCCCCCTAGAGTTGCCAGAAGAAATACAGGACACCCGGGTAAATTTGAATTTGAGATAACGCTGTCGTCTGGGGGTCGGGGTGGGGGAACCCCGAGCTAGTGTCGGAAGAAAGCCTAGAGGCTCTCCTGCCGAGCTGCCCACCACGGATGCCCTCCTTCGTCAGTCCCGTGGGACGGGAACAGGCAGAGATGGTCCGAGTCTTGACCGCTTCCCTTATTCAGTCTGGCCATGACTCCCCACTCCTTTCGGAGCCAAACTTACGGAGTGGCAGAGGCCTGAATCCCCCTCTCTACGCAAAGAATGTCAGGCCCAAGCTCTATGTCTAGGAGGCTGCTCTTGCCCTGGGCAGACTACTTACATTTCATCAGCTCCTCGGAGGACTCAGCCTCGAAGGGTTCAGCCCGATGTTGTACACCTTGGTGGGGGTAGGGCTGGAGTCACAGAGTGGCAGCCCTATGTCCCATCCCTTCCACCCTAGAAACGGCTTCCAGGACTGACGGCAGGGTCTCCAGGAAGTGGCTCTTAATTCCTTGGATGACAATGCAGAGGCTCAGGTCACCTGAGTGACCCACGGGCGTGGGGGTGGGCCAGGTCCTAGGTGTCCTGTCCCCAGGCCAGCCTCTGTGCTTTCTCCTCAGGTTGCCTGTCCTGCCAGAGGAGTGCAGCCTGAATGTCACCTGCCTCAATGGTGGCCCGTGTGAGGGTGGGCCCCAGGGTGCCAACTGCAGCTGCCAGGAGAGCTTTGCTGGCCAGAGGTGGGTCTGGGGTCCAGGGGCCTGGGAGGTGGGCTGCTGAGTGTGGAGAGTCGGGCAGGGCGGGCCTCTGGATCCCCTCCAGCCAGGGCAGGTGAAGTGGGGTATGGATCCTTGCTCACCTTCTCAGCCCTCACTGTCGTCACAGTGCCAGACAGTGCACCTCTCTTGCTTGAATTCTTTCCCTCTGGGGCTTCCAAGACCATCCTGTGTTATGCAGACACCTGCTGGGAAGTAGTTGCCTGGTGGTGTTTCTTAGAGCTCCGTGCTCAGCCCACCTCCCACTCCTCCACCTGGGGAGACTGTAAAAATGCAGGTTCTGGGCCCACTCCAGACAGTCAGCATCCCTGGGCAGGTGGCTTTACACAGGCTCCCCCCGTGCTTCTGGTGGAGTGACAGTCTTTCTGTCATGAATGCTGGGGTGAAGGGGCGTGGTAGGTGATGGAGATCGCTTTCAGCATCAGTCACCTGGCAGGGCCCAGCCAGGTAGGGACAGTGGATGAATGAGCTTTGATGCCAGTGTGTGTAGGGGGTGGGGGAGGGTTTGAGAAAGTAAAGGAGCTGGGGGAACAAGAGGCAGCCTGGGAGGGAGCAGCTTTCTCAGCCCCACCCTTGTCCCTGCCTCCCAGGTGTCAGATCCCCTGTGAAGCCAACCCCTGCTTGAATGGCGGCACCTGCCGGACAGCTGGTGGGGTATATGAATGTATCTGCAGTGCAAGCTTCTCAGGCCAGTTCTGCGAAGTGGTGGTGAGTGATGCCCGAGGGGGTGGGTGCCCTGTTTTGGACTTTAGTGAGATGATGTTACGGGGGAGCGTATACAGCACCTGTGGAGCTGTTCCTGGGCCAGGCCTGTCACGGGGTCGGGGGGAGCAGGGAAAGGAGACTCAGGCTGCTTCCACACTCCCACACAGGAGGGGCCCCCAGCACTCCTCTGGGGGCTGCAGTGAAACAGCTGGGCTTTGCCAAGTCTGATCTGGGCCAGGATTCAGGGCCCACAGGATCTTGGAATTCTGGGATTTACATTGGTGAATACGAGAGCCTGTAATCTCTGGTGGTTTCTGAGCCAGGATTCTAGAGTAGGAAGGTGTGGGGAGCCCGGGATTCTGAGCCAGAGAAGGCTTGGGAAGGCTTGGCTGCCGTGAAGGTAGCCCCTGACCCCAGGGAAGCTCAGCTGAGGAGGGGTCCGAATAGATGGGGGCCAGCCGGAAGCTTGAGCTTGAACCTCCCTCTGGCCCCCTCCCCGCTAAGGGGCAGAACAGACTCTGCAGGCCCAGCGGGAAGTGAGCCCAGAGTGGGCACAGCAGCGAGGAACGAAGCCTGGGGAGGAGCCTTGATCTCCACACGCTTCTGGCGGCCTGGGTCATAAACCCCAAACCTCTCTGCTTCTGGGGAATGTTTCCTTTCAAGTTGAACTTTACAGCTGCTGGCACACATCACCCCCCCCCCACCCCCACCGCCCTCCGCCCCGTCCCCCGCCACCCTCCTCCTAGGGAGGAAATGGCTTTACAGCTCCTCCTGAAGTGCCCAGGGCCGGAGCCTGGGGAGGGCCCATTCAGGGCTGGGATGAATTTTTCTCTACAGTCTTGGGCACCTTCCTCAGGGCTAGGGGCTGAGACTTGGAACCCAGGTCACAGTGGGCTGAGAAGTCTCATGGGACAGAGGGAGGGCCGGTGAATCTGAGGCCCTGGGCCTCTGCCCCCTGGAAGTCTGTGATTCTGGAGCTTCAGAACTCCAGGTCTGTAGAAGCTCTGATGGGGGCATCCCGGTGTCTGTGACAAGGCAGAGAGGTGGTTTCCTGGGCCCCCAGAGCCTGGTCTGAGTGTCTGGGGCGGTGGGGGCCCGCCCTGGTGGATTCTGAGCTCGCCAGCAGCCAGGTCGGCCTGCTGCAGCTCATGCCCTGCACGGGCCCCCTGGCTGGGGAGCCTCTCCTGCTACTGCCTGAGATGCCTCCCACTTGGGGGTTGAGCATGGTCTCCACAGACACTTAAAAACCCAGACTGCCCTTTGGGTTCGGGAGGGATCAGGTCCTATCACTTCAGATTGGGTGTTTATTGAGAGAGGCAGGGTGGCAGGGCTGGGCACTGAGGCCCACCTTGGCCAGTTGAAGGAAGGACCTTCGGCTGGAATTTGGGACTGAAGAATGGTGGTGTGAGCTGGGCATGGGCATGGCGTTGGGGGCGGACAGAGGGCAGTGCCAGTCCCGGCTTGACACCCACTAGTCATGTGTCTGGGGGGATCTGGGCAAAGCCTCTGTTTTCTCCTCTAATATTTATCGAGTGCCTACTGAGCAGGCTCTGCTGTGCGTTTTGGGATACACGGGTAAACAAAATAAACCAAAGGTTCCTGTCCTCACGGAAGAAAGGGGGTGTCCTCGCTTCCGCTTCATCAGGTCATGTAAGGTTTACATGAATCCCACACTTGGTGCTGAGCTCCTAGTAGGCATTCAATAAATGTGTTTTCTCTCCTCCTCGCCAGAACCCCTTTGCTGTACAGGAATCCCCTTGTGGTGCCTCTAATAGGTAGCTCCCAGGCACTTGCTTGCATACCTCTGGGGCCAGGTCTCTCACTACCTCCCAGGGAAGCCTCTGCCCAGCGATGCTTTTTCCTCTCCTCTGAAGGAACTGGGGGGGGTCTCCCCGCCCCTGTGGTCTTAGGCGTGTTACTGCATCTCTTCCAGAAGGGCCTATCGCTGCCGCCGCCGTTCCCGCTGCTGGAGGTGGCAGTGCCTGCGGCCTGCGCCTGCCTCCTCCTCCTCCTCTTGGGGCTCCTCTCAGGGATCCTGGCGGCCAGAAAGCGCCGCCAGTCAGAGGGCACCTACAGCCCAAGCCAGCAGGAGGTGGCCGGAGCCCGGCTGGAGATGGACAGTGTCCTCAAGGTGCCACCCGAGGAGAGACTCATCTAGGCCCACCTGGCTGTGGCTCCAGCACCTGGGAGGTCCTCACCTTCTACCTGGAGACCGAAGGAGGCCACTTTCGGGAGCCTCCCGGGCCTCGGGGAGCTGCTGCCGGGCCCAGGATACCTGCTGGGGAAGTGGCCCCTTTGCTGGGGGCCCTTGCCCCGTCCTGGACTGAGGGGAAGGGGCGCGCTCAGGGAAGCAGAGAGAGGCCTGGCGAGGTTGTGGACATGCTCCATCCAACCGCCCGGTCTTAACCTTGGCAGGCACACGGCTGTGCCGGGAGGAGCACCTGCGGGTGCACACGTGTTCAGGAGTGTGTGAGTGCGCGCGTGCACGTGTGTTTGTACCTGGGCCTGTTGATCTGCAGGGACCAGTGAGTGTTGCGGATGGGGCTCACGGGCACGCCCTCGTCTTTGCTGTTTGTGCACGTCACTGTGTAGTGAGTGCAGGTGACCCCGCGGAGGGGCAGCTGGGCAGTGGAGACCACCTTCTCAGCCCCGGGGCAGGGGCAGCCCAGGGCCACGAGTTCTCCTGGAGGCCAGGCCAGGGCTTGCCCAAGGACCAAAGACCCAGCTCCCGCAACTTCTCCCACCTCCGGAGGCTGCCCTGGCCCTGGAGGCAGCTGGAAATCAGTGGGGTGGGGGGCATGAGCCAGAGGTTAATGTGTGAGCTCCTGGCTCCCCAAACAAGTGCTCCCTGAGGCAGGTCTGTCTCTGCCCTCTGCGGCAGCCAGGCACCCGCTGGGATGCAGGACTGAGGGGCAGACCTGCAGGAGCGGAGGGGTGGGGGGAGGGTGTCTGGGCCACTGCAGCCTTCCTCCTGAAGGCCTGTCACTTATAGAATGGGGAAAGCAGCCCTTGCCTACCTCACAGGGCTGCTGTGAGGATGGGCAGGGCAACAGTGGGGAAGGAGCTCTGGAATTCGTTAAAGTCCAGTCCGCTGTGAGGGCTGCCCGGGTCATCCCAAGGTGTCGGGAAGGGAGAGGGTGAGAGCGGGGAAGGGGCCTCCCTGAGGGGTAGCAAGGGGGCCAGAGGGCGATGATGACAGAGGAGCAACCCTCCCTGCCCACCTTGTGGTTCTCCAGCCCCTCCGGCATCAGCGCTCTCCTCTCCAGGCTGCCTGGCGAGTCCACTCTTTCACCTGCAGACCAGTCACCTCTCTAATGGCCGCTGGGAGGACTCGAGGAGGGCCTCGCAGGAAGCCCTCAGGGTTGTTTGCTGAGGCAGGTGCTTGGCAAATGTTGGCACTGTCTCTGGGTCGGGGCTGGTCCTGCGGACAGACACAGATGAAGGGAAGAACTGGCCGCTTTGCTTCCAGTCCCTTCCCTGGTGATGCCATCACACTGGGATCTCTGATCTCTTCTCTGAGGGGCACTTGCCTGAGGGCCTGGCCTCTGAGCTTCAGAGTCCCTTGGTCCCTGACCTGGAGATGTGCCCTTCGGTCCTTCCCATTTCCCAGGCCAGCACCCCCTGTGCCAAGGCCAGGAGACCCCTTTCCACTTCTCGACTGGAGGTGGACTTTACCCATCTCCCCTAGGGGTCTCAGCCAGCTTCCAGAGGCACAGGAGTCAAATGTGAGGTGGAGGCACGTGGTGATGGAGGCAAGGGAAGGGGTGAGCGGGCTGAGACTGGGATGGGAAGGGCCCTGAACACTAGGTTACGGGGCTTGCTTGGTCCTTATCCTGTAGGAGGTGGGACCACCTTTTCCCCCAACTTTCTCCCTGACTCCTGGAAAAGTGGGGGAGAAAACATCTGGTAGCAACAACTTAGCCCCAGCTGGTGCCTTGGTTAGTTTATTAAGTCAGAGATTTGGCAAACCTGTGTTCTTGCAGACTCCTAAGACAAGACATTCTGGGTGGAACCCCAATATATAAAAGCTGGGCTGTTCTTTTTTGTCCTTCTCTTGCTTCTAAGCGTTCTGGGTACCTGTCATTTTCAAGCGCAGCCCAGGGAGGGGGACACAGCCCAGGGAACCGAGTGAAGGGCAGATAGGGGAACGGGGTGTGTCTAACACCCTCTCTGGGTGCTTGGTCCAGGTGTCCCTCCCCAGCACAGCCAACAGAGGTGCAGACTCCAGGCTCTCCCCTTGTTACTGAGAGGTCTGTGGGAGTAAAGCTCCAGGTGTCCCCTTGAACTTCCTTCCTGGAGCCTGGGTGCCTTAAACATCATTGGTGACCTGCAGCCCTGCTCCGTGGACCCGGCAGGCCTGTGCACACCTGTAACCAGTCCAGCCCCTGGGTCCTGCTTGTAAGAAGAAGGGGCTAAGCTGGGCTCAGAGGCCCGAATGGTAACAGGCTTAAGAGTGGGCCAGGCGTCAAAGCCTCCCCTGACTGCTCCAAGCCCCGCCTCTACCTCTACAAACAGGGATGCTGAAGACGCCTGAGGCCTCGCCTCCCCGCAGAGCTTCCTCAGGACACAGGGATACCAGCCTTCTCCCCAAGAAGATTTTATTGAACGCACACACACAATTCATCCTTGGATTTTCACATTCAATCCAGCAAGTGGAGAGACAGCAGTGCTCATGTGAACATGGAGCACTTGCCACCAGGCCCCAGCAAGCCAGGGAGACCAGGGGGTGGGCTCCGCTTCCCTGGGGCCACCTGGTACCTCTTGCCTTAGACTCTGCCCACTGGGTGGGCTACCCTATACCTGATGGGGCTCAGGGGTCTGCCCAGGGTGGGTGGATCTGGAATCTCTGCTGAAACACCTGAGTGTCCTAGAGGTGCCCACATGGCCCAGACATGACACGGCTCCCCTTCTTCCAGAAGCCAGAGGACACTGCCGAGATTTAGACAGAAGACTTGCCCGAGGGGCTATGACTGACGGAGGAAGGGGCTGCGTGCTGGGCCAGCAGCTCTTCACACCCCGCGTCAGAGCAAACCTGAGGGGGTGGTCTCCTAGCCCCTCAGATGCTGACCAGGCTCCCCGGGGTTACGAGGTCTCCAGGAACTCCCCTGCCCCGCCAGACACCCGAGACTGTATGTCTGACCATTCACAAATAGGAAATGAGAAATGAGGTCAAAATGCTCACAATTTCCTGCATGTCTCAGATGGTTGTTTTCTTAAATGGTTGGGCCACATTTTAACTTGGTTTATTGAAACTAGTCAATTTCAAGATTCATCAAATCAATAAAGTAAAAAGGAAAAGAAAGATAAAAGAAACAATAACAAAACGGTTCAACTTTAGCTTTGGGGATGCTGGCCTCCGGGAAATAGGGAGGGGCGGCTCCAAGCCCTTCTCCTGCCTCCAGGCTGCAAGAAGTGCGAGAGGCCAGGCCCGCCCACTCCCCAGGGGCCTGGAGAGGGGCTCGGTGCCCTCCTGCCCCAAGCTGCCAGGCAGCTGGGACTCCTGCACCTCTGTGGTGCTAAGCCTGGTCTTCCAGTGGGAATGTGGGTGTCTGCTCCTCAGCTCTGCCCCCTTAGACTCACTCAGCAAGAGGCCGAGTCCCACTTGACAGTAACTCAAGACCAGGAGAACCTGTGGGGACCAGAGGGAGAGTGCGGGGCGGCAGCCTGACCCCTCCTGGTGCTCTCAGATTTACCTGTTGCGGTTTTTGTCGTCTACAGATCAGAGTTGCTGGTGCTCTCGGGCCCCACGCAGGCCTGTCTGGGGCTTGCTTTGGCTACCGGGAGGGATTGCAAGGATGCCTCAGCCCCCAAATCCCTACCAAGCCAGAAAAACGAAGTTTGGGGGTTGGGGTGAAGACTCAGGAAAGAACGAGTGTGCATATTGCTAGAGAGGATTTGGAAATGCCTTGCCAGGTAGCTCCTCCAGCCTGGGAGGGGGGTTCCTTACTGCAAACTCCAAACCATGTGCGTCTCGTGCAGACGAGCTCATGCCGAGGGTACTGCCAATGCCTGCGCCCATCAAGGTGGGGTGTGCAGGGCTGGGCTGCAGTTGGGGCAGGAGAACAGGGCTCAGGAGGACACATCCTGAGGCGGCGTGGGGCTCCTGGTGGGCAGGCAGTTTCCAGAGGGAAGCTAGGTAGGATGGGGTCTGGGGCAATCATCAGCCCAGATGACCTCTCTAGTGCAAAACCCAATCAGGGGTGCAGGGGAGGGGTGGTGGCAGGGCGGGACAAGTGCCCAGGAGCTGGGTTGATTCCCAGGCTGGAACTGGTGCCATTCTCCAGAGGTGGGCAGTGTGGAGAGGAGGAGGAGCAGCAGAGAGGGCTCCCAACCCTTCCCACCAGTAGAACCTGGACAGAAACAGAGCAGCAGGGGAAGCAGGGCCGGCCAGCCGCAGAGCTGCCGCGGTGGGCAGCCGGGCCTCAGCTCGCCCCCAGCACTCAGCGCCCGCTCACTCGAAGGTCTCCCACTGCTTCCTGAGCTGCTCCACTGAGCCGGGGGCTGGGGCCGGGCTCACATCTTGCTTGGTTTTCCGTAACAAATCCTCAAAGGGGTCTCTGGCCTCTCGTGGAGCAGATGGCTGCAGCGCTGGCTCCAGGCCCTGGGGGGCTCTGGGAGGAAGGAGTGGGGTGTCTCCAGGCCTTAGCGCCAGCCCTTGCTTGGCCTCGGCGGCCCTGGCACTTGAGCGGGCCAGGGGCAATGTTCGGATCCTTGAAGGGGCGACTGCTGGGGGACCCAGGGGCTGCAGGGAGTGGGCACCCATGGGCATCTGGCCAAAGAGGTTGGGCATGGAGAGGGCAGACAGGTTGGGCTGAGATCTCTGTGGGGCACAGAAGCCAGAACTGGACAGCAGGAGGCTGGGGGCAAAAGCAGGCCCCAGGGAAGCAGGAGGGGCCCCAAAAGGCCCAGCTGGTGTGGAGACCAGGGGCATGGCAGGCAGTGTCGCTGGCACAGATGGGACAAAGGGGTTGAGTGATGGCTGTGGAAATGGGGTGGGGGTCCCCATGGGGGGGAAGCTAAACTGGGGAGTAAATGGGGTGGCTACATTTGGGGCTGTAGGACCTGGTGGAAGGGTACTGCCTGACCAGGCTGTGCTAAGTGGGTCCAGGAGGGCCAGCAGGGCATCACTGCCTGTGCCCGCAGCCCCCGGGGCCAGGCTGAGTGGCTGGAGCAGTTCGGTGGGGTCTTGGGGGGCAGCGCTGGGGTGGAGCCCGGGGATCGCGGCTGAGCCCAGGGCAGCCCGCCTTTCCCGCTCCGCCTGCAGCCCCTCTGAGGAGAAGTCGCAGAGGGCAGTGCCGGCAGCCTGGAGCTTGGCCGGGCGGGCAGTGGGGGGCGGGGGCACGATGCCCAGCTCTGGGGTCTTCCTGCCCTGGGGCCGGGGGATGGTGATGCTGCCCAGAGTGGGGGTGGGCACCTCCTCCTTGTCGGTGGGGTTCAGGATGCCGTCCCGGTTCTGGGGCCTGCTGGGCAGGGCCGGGGATTTCCCAAGCAGGGCCGAGGGCTTCTCGGGGGAGGTGGCAGGAGGCTTGCTGGGGACGGCCATGTCGTCCTGGCCCAGGCTCCAGAGCTTGCTGTGTGGGTGGGCGAGCTTCAAGGCTCCTGGCATTCCACGGCTCCTCTCACTCCTGCCTAGGTCCAGCCTCTGTTAGAGGGAATGAGGGAGGCAATGACCACAGGCTGACCTGAGACAGACTGGCAGGCAGCATGTGCCCCTCCCCCCCGCCCTCCTGTGTGCCAGGTGGACACTGGGACTGTGGTCCCGGGAGTGTGGCTGACTAGTCCCTGGGACCCAGAGCAGTTGGGGGCTCGGCCCAGGTCAGCGGCAGAAAGCAAGCCCAGGTCTGTCTGCACTCGAGGCCAGGATTCTCTCACTGGGTGGCACAAAGGGCCTCCAGAGAAAGCTCTGTCTTTTCAAACCAGTGCTGCCAAGTAGTTTTAGGAAAAGGACTCCACCTACTGACCCTCTACCGGGGTGGCCGATTTTACTTTTCAAAGCGTGCGGGCACTTTCAACCACCCATTAGCCCAAGAGGGCAAGTGAGGCTCGGGGCCTGGGTGAAGGCACACTGGCTGGGAAGGAAATAGGAGGGCTGGGCTCAAGTCCCAGCTCTGCCACCTATAGGGCCCACGACCTGGGCGTCACATCCCTTCTCCTGGCCTGAGCTCCCTCGTGGGCAGCCTGGGAATAGCAATTCCCTGCAGAGGGGCAAGCGTGAATCATCAGATACGTGGGAGCTTTGTGAATTCCACACTGTGACCCAAGGACTGCAGAGTCAGCAGCCCCCAGTCACAAGTGAGGAAACCGAGGCACAGAGAGGAGGTGTGCCTGACTGAAAGTCACAAGGAAGGTCAGGGGTCACACGCTAATGTCCAGAGCCCAGGAACTTTGATTCACAGGCTCTCCAAGGAGCCTTGGTGGGGTTGGGATCATTAATCCCAGTTTCACCAGGGGTCATAGCCCTGCCCACCTCTGATGCATAAGCAGAAGTGGGGGGGCAGATTTCTATCAGGCTCCAGCATCTTCTCCAGTGATCCCTGTGAGCGGGGTTGGGGGGTGGGGGGGCGGGTCTGGCCATTGGCCGGCCTGGCAGGATTTGCAGTCAGAGTGACTCTGAGTGTTGGCTGAGGACCTCAGAAAAGTCGCTGTTTCTCCCTTGGTGTCTTTTACTGTCACATGGGGAAATCCACCTCATGTGCAGAAAGTGCCCCCAGCCAGCGCCCCCCGCACCGCCCCCACCACAGCATACCTGATAGTCAAAGGTCCCCGGCTGCTCCCTCAGGTCTTTGGGGGGCCGAAGGTCCTCCAAGCTTTTGGCCTGGCCCAGTGGCTGCAGTGGGACCTCCATGTCGAGGCTGCTGAAGACGTCCTCCAGGAGGTCGATGCTGGCAGCCCGGTCGGGCGGAGCTGGGGTGGGGCCCACAGGCTCCCGCGCTCGCTGCTCAGGGCTCTCCGCCTCGTCTCCGGCGCTGTCTGACTCCTTGAGTGTCCGATATGGCTGCGGCCTGGGAGGAGGCAGAGCAGGCTGGATTCTCCTACTCAGAGCCTCCCTGGGAGGAGCAAGCAACCCTCACCCCCGAGAACTTCCAGGCCTCGGGGAGCACACCCGGGAGCCTTGGGAGAGGAGTGCCGTCCTGGGTCCCTGAGAGTGTAGGCGTCTGGGCAGCGGCACTCTGACAGACCTGGGCTGAACATGGCTTCTGTTCGCTCAGGGACCTTGGGCAAGTTGCTCTGGCTCTAGCTTGCACTGGGGGGCCCACTTAGTTTCCTCCAAACCACAGGACCCACCGTAGAACTGGCTAGTGGGCTCACATGCCATTCACACAAGGCGTGAGGAATAGGACACGTCTGGAGAGGGAACAGGCAGGAAGACTCAATCCTGAGCCCACTGTCTGCACTCCCACCCCTGCAGCAGGTCCTGGGAACAGCTCGTGGGAACTGAGCTGGGAGAACTCTCCCCAGGGAGCTGCCCAGTGCACCCCAGGATCCTCAGTGGGGAACCATCTGGGGCTCAGCCTGTGCAGACCTCAGTTCCAGCCCTGGTGCCATCTCTTCCTGTGGGACCTTGGGTAAATCACAACCTCTCTGAGCCTCATACGCTCCCCCATTCCAGACTGCACTCCCCTGCAGCTGGTGGTGGAGACTACATGAGCAAATACAGTGCCTGGTGCCCAGCAGGCATGCTGAGGCTGTTAGCAGCATTCATGCACCAAAACCTTGCAGTCAACCAGGTGCAGGTGACACAGGGTGCCTCTTGCTATCCCTTCTCACAAGCCTGAGCCCCGGAGTACCTGGAGAACGGTGCCCAGACCTCTAGTGGAGCCCGGGCCAGAGCAGCATCCCACCTCCTCCAACCATGAGGCTCTGGCTCCTGGGTCAGGCAGAAACTGCCCACGGCTCTGGTAAAGTGGGGGAAGGGTGCCACCTGCTGGTCCTGGAGGCCCACTTGCACGAACCTGGGCAGGGGACAGTTGGCAGAGGGAAGGGGCTCAACTAACAGCCCTGACTCTTGGCAAGGACTGCATCAGACTGTACTAACTCCCTGAAGGCACACAGGCAGCCCACGAAGTAGGACTCACACCCCCCACTTTATAGATGAGGAAACTGAAGCTCAGAGAGGCTAAGTAATGGAACGTATGTCACACAGCACCTGGCAAGAGATGGAAATGGAAGCCAAGTATGAGAGACTTCTAAAGTCCCTCACTTGTTCTGACTAAGCCATCTGACCAAGCTCCTTTAACCAAGTTTGAACACAGTGAAGGAGATAAAGAAAAGCCAGTGTGCTTCGTAGTTAAGGAACTAGAGTTCTTTAGAAGGAACCCATTTTGCTTTGAGTTAAGATGGCCACTTCCCTTTTAAACATACCCAAAAGCCTATGCCTTTCATAGATCATGGCTCAGGAAGTGAGCATTATTTTAAATAATTAAGGCATCAATTAATTTAAAAAGAACGTGACCTGCTGGACTCCGTGGTGGGAGAGTCCGTGGACATTACCTGTGTGGGTGCCTTTACCTGCAAGGTGATTTTAAGTTGATACATGGATGAACTTTTCTTATTCCAATGATGCTATCTTTACTTTAATTAATAATAGAAGTAACATATATTAAGCCTATGATACCATGAACATTATTGCTTAGGACAAGGCTTCTCTTCTAGTTTTAAAGAATAAGATTCACTGTACAGACCAGGTGGCATTCCAAGCTTGGGCAACACTGGCTTAGGCCACTGCTCTAGGTGAGGACATCAGGAGGGGACTGACTTGCCCGTGGTCACAGGTGAGCTGGTGGCAGAAAGGGCCAGGCCCCTCCTCCCCTGGGGGGCGGGCAGTGGCAGGAGCAGAGCTGTTGGGTTTATCAGGTGCCCCGAGGAACTCACAGGCCCAGCCTCGGGGGAGAGACTGGGAGCAGGGAGATGGTGAAGGGGGCTGGGAGGGGGAAGGTGGGGGAAGAGTCATTCTTCTATAATCTGGCTGTAACGGTTTACTCCCCGAAGGGTTGCTGTGTGTGTTCAGCAATGGGCAGTTCCCTTCCCCTAGAGGCTTCCATTAAAAACACCATGCAAACAAATACACACAGAACCAAAGCTGTCCCTTTGCTCAGTCCCAGCCCTGAAAAGCCTGTGCGTGGAGAGGCAGGAATTGCAAAGAAAGGGCGGCCACCAAAGCCCAATTCCAGGGGCGGCTGGATCGTGGTGAACCTTCTTTTTCTTTCTTTCTTTATTGCAATTTGTAATTAGAAGAAGGCTTAGGCTATAAATAATAATGATAAAAATTATCTTAAAGTCAGGCAGGTCAGTAAAACCTTTGGACATGCCAGCATTAATATATACATTCCTCATCGGTAACGTTGTTTGAAAACTTAAAATCTGACGATCCATCTCCATGGCTTTCCAAGATGTGCTGAGATAAAGGAAAACTCGGGCAGCAACAACCAGGCCAACTGTAGCTGAAACCGCAGCCACCAATTCCATTAACAGCTAAGTGCATTTTCCCCAAAGGAATGAGACCCATGCTCCTGTCTTCACACCTCTAGAGCCCAGTCACTCTTGTCACCTCACCCCATGGTCACAGCCCCCATGGGGCTGACAGAATGACGCCCTGAGAGGAGGCACACAGAGGGGGCGTCCGTCCTGCAAGCTGGCACCGGAAGGCAGCAGCCCCAGACCCCCTCCCCACACACAAGCGCAAGCTGGCCACCCCCAGCCCTCCAAGTGGCCCCGGAGAGTCACCAAGCCGAGCTCAGGGAAATGGAAGAAGGAAGGAGAGACCATTCAAAGGGAGCGGAGAAGAAAAAGCTTTCGGTGAAGCCAGAGCTCGGGCCCTCTTCCCGCTGGCATTCATCGTCAGAGGAGTCTTCGGAGAGGAAGACAGCATAGTGTCGCAAGGGCTTTACGAGGCTGGGGCGGAGGAAGACAAGAGAGAAAACAGTTAGGAGGGACCTCGGTACTCCACGTGGCGGGGTGGGAAGGAGGCCTGAGGCTCCGCACCTGACCCTGGCCTCCCTCTGCCGGCCAGGGAGGAGGCTGCCTGGAGAAGGCCTGACGGGCCCCACAGTGAGGAAGCTGGTCCCAAACAGAAAAGAAACTGTGGGTTTGCCACCTGTGTCAAGAGCCTTAAATACATCTATGACCTTGTGATTCCATTTCCATTTAGATAACCCCAATGTAGCAACAAATTATGCACAAAGATGTTCATTACTGCTATGTTTATAAAACATGAGACAACCTGAACTTCCGCAGTAGGAATCTGGTGAGGTGAATTATGGCATGGTTGGCTGAAGAGTATCCTCCCATTAACTATAATGTTTATAAAGAAAAATCTAAAAGTCAGGATGCAGAATTGCAGTTATACTGCATTCTCTCTCATCTGCTTATGGAAAAATGCACAGAAAAAAGACTGGAAAGGTATGTGTCTAAATGTCAACAAAAGCTAGGGAACCCATGTCCCCTGCATTGGAGAAGCCACTGCAGTGAGAAGCCCACGCACCACAACGAAGAGTAGCCCCTGCTCGCCGCAACTAGGGAAAGCCCACTCGCAGCAACGAAGACCCAAAGCAGCCCCCAAAAATAAATAAATAAAAAAATTTAAAAAGCTAGTGGATTATGGATTTTTTTCCCCTCTGCCAAATTTTATTTTTGTGTCTTCTCCGTTTTCTGCAATGTGCATATCTACTTCAATAATCAGGAAAAAATAAAAAATAAAAAAGGTAAAGAAGAAAGTGAGCCATGTGGAAGGGCACTCGCGAGAAGGCCCTTTTCTGATTAGCGGCCGCTCTCTGGAGTCTCCCTCAGATGCCTCTTCAGAGAGTCTTTTTCATCTGTGATGTGGAAATTAAATATTCATTGTTATAAAAAATACATCTCCCTTGTCAGCCACCTGTGAGCTCTACCTCTATAAACACAAACACATACACAGCCCAGAGAAACTCCACGCCAGCTTTTATGAATTATACACTGACCAGGGCCCGCGAGAGGTGTGTGCTTGGGAGAGGGGAGCTGGACCCCACAGCCCCTGGTTCAAATCCCGGCCCCATGGCTGCTGCTCCGGCACGCGGCTGGGGAGCAGGCAGCCCACGCCTCTGCCCTGTACAGCGGGCTGGACGCACACCGAGGATCCCAGGGGCAATGGTGGACTCTGGGGGGGGGGGGGGGGGGGGTAGGAGACACAGGGGTACCTGATGGGGGGCTATCTCCTCTCCCCTCCACCCCCAGCCAGAGCAGTCTCCTTTCCTTGCCTTATATGATGCAATTCCTTTCTGGTTTCATTTCAGGAAGAGGAAACATGTCCAAAAAAGTGCATGGGAACCAGGGCTGGAGAGTAAGTGAGGGAGAGCAGCTATCCCTGTGGGGATTGGGAGAGTGGACTGTGATCGGCTGCTGGTATGGTCCACCATCACCAGTCATAAGCCAGTTGTTACCCAAATATATGCTGCCCTTTTAAAAGTGGAACCAAAGCTGGTGCCCAGGGCTGTGAGTTCCCCAGCACTGTCACACCTGAACCCTTCATTTCCTCGCATTGTCCCTGGAAGCTAGCCAGGCAAAGACTTTTGTCCTCTTACTGAAGGGGAGGTTGAGGCTCAGAGAGGGGAAGCCACTTGCCCGGGGGCTGCACAGGGAGGTCACAGCGTTCCTCTCCTCTCCCAGGCTGCCTTGCTGCGTGTCAGGGACAAGACGTATCTCAGCCTGTCCTGGACTGGTGGGAGCATGGCCTAGGAGGCTCATTCTCCTCTGAACTCAGGAGAGAGGGTGGGAGGATCTGACTTGCAGAAATGTGCCCTGGCCAGCACAGGGGCTAGGCTGCCCAGTTCCTGCCTCGTCCACCGGGACATAAAACAAGGCCCAGCAGGAGGGCCACTGGAATCCTGTTCTGAATCACAGGCCTGACCTCATCACTCTCCCGCTTCACACCTGCAAGCCTGCTGCTCTGAACCGTGGCTTCATGCGGTGGGTAAAATGTCAGCGATACTAATGTTCAGGTGTGTCTGGAACGACTTACACGTCTGTTTAAAAGTTTGGGGGACCCGCTCTCACTCGCCAGCACTGGACTGTTCTCCCGAGCAGGGGGGCAGGCACCCTGCCTCAGGCTGCATTCTGGGGAGCTCGTGGAACACACTGGGTGGGCGGGGTGAGGGCCGCCAAGTCCAAGCTCCAAGCAGGGCAGACACCGTGCTTTGCGCCTGGCCCCGCCCACCTCTGTGTTCCTTCCCTGCCACCTCCTGCCACCTGCCCTTGCCTTTGCCTGGTGCACTGATTGCCCTTGGCCTGCAAGACTCAGCTCAAACCGCACTCCTACAAAGCTTTCCTGGAGCTCCCAGCAGAGTTTTCTCCCTAGATAGAGCTGGCTTCTCCTTGGGCTGCGTGGTTTAGCGCTTCGTTAATACAGTTGAACCTCTTGCAATTCCATTTCTGAGTGGAGGTCCTCGAGGGCAGGGGCCCTGGCGCGTTCTTCTTTCTCTCCCCGCCCATAGCACAGCGTTAGTGCAGAGGAAAGTTTGCTAAGGGAATGACTGGAAGCCAGCGTACTGGAGAGACGAGGCCCCGCACACACCAGCTTCACCCCTCTTCTGGATCCCCGCCAGGCACATGCCCCTTTCCTCAGCTCGTGGCTGCAGTATAAGAGGGTCCCCTCTCTGGTGTGGAGAAAAGGGAACCCTCCTACACTGTTGGTGGGAATGTAAACTGGTGCAGCCATTATGGAGAATGTTATGGAGGTTCCTTAAAAAACTAGAGTTGTCAAAAAAAAACACAAAAAAACTAGAGTTGTCATGTGATCCTGCAATCCCACTCCTGGGTATACATCCAGAGAAAACTCTAATGTGAAAGGACACATGCACCCCAATGTACATAGCAGCACTATTCACAATAGCCCAAGACATGGAAGCAACCTAAATGTCCATCGATAAATGAATGGATAAAGAAGATGTGATACATATATACAGTGGAATATTACTCAGCCATACGAAGGAATGAAATGATGCCATTTGCAGCAACATGGATGGGCCTAGAGATTATCGTACTAAGTGAAGTAAATCAGACAGAGAAAGACAGATATCACATGATATCACTTATATGTGGAACCTAAAATATGATACAAATGAACTTATTTACAAAACAGAAACAGACTCACAGACATAGAAAAACTTATGGTTACCAAAGGGGAAAGGGGGGTATAACTCAGGAGTTTGGGATCAGCAGATACAAACTACTACATATAAAACAGATAAACAACAAGGTCCTACTGTATAGCACAGGGAACTATATTTAATATCTTGTAATAAACCATAATGGAAAAGAACATGAAAAAGAATATAGACCTGTAGAACGGGACCACGTCTGGGGGTGAGCGTGTTAGGTATATTGGGGCAGGTGGGAGTCTCAGAAAAATGCTTAAAATAATATCCACAAGTAGGCACTGTGCCACGGGCTTTACACAGGTTATGTCTACCACTCCCCCAGCAGGAAGCAGAAAGGCGTCGCTGTACAGATTTTACAGAGGATGAGGCTGTCATTAGTCCATCCATCCACCTGTCCGTCTGTTCATCCACGCACCCAACCGAGAGGCACCTCCCGCGTGCTTGTAGTGAGCAGACCCAGTCCTAGCTGAGCACTTCATGGTGAAGAGGAGAGGTGTGACCAAGCCACCCAGCCAGGAAGTGATGAGCAGGGATTCCAGTCCAGGGCCCTCTCTTTCCTGTCCTCTGGGCTGGTCGTAGATGTGTATGAGGGGGACCCACACCTCTGCTTGGGTCAAACTGAATGAGGCTTTGGGTGGCCCTCAAATCCATCTTGAATGCCTTTCCAACACCCATCCAAGCACAGCCCCCTCCTCTGGCTTTGACAAGTAAGCAGAGAGCACAGCGTGGCACGTTAGCTGAATGCCAGGAATGTCTGGATTCACACAAGAGCAAAGAGCCTTTGTGCTGGACTGGACCTTGGCTTCATCAGCTCAGGCTGCTGCACCTCCCACCACTTTCAAAATCCAGTGCCTCCCACACGCGAGATCACGGAGGGCGCTTGGGGGTGAGGTGGGGGGAGACAGGGAGCCTCACTTTACAGCTCACCATTTTCCTCTCCAGACAGCTCTTCTGGCCAGGCCAGGCTGGTCGGGCAGTCTTGACTTCAAGAAGAGGTCCAGGGTGTCTCCTGGATACACCATCTGTCTCTCAAGAGTGATGGAACACCCAGACGAGAACTCTGCCATGTGGTTTGATCAGAGTTTCTTCAGGTCCAGGCTTTGGACCACACGGATAAGGATGATGACATCAGCAGTATTTCCAAGTGTTGGGCTAAATGCTGTCCGTACAGTTTCTGATTAATTACTCATCACATCCTCATTTTTCAGATAAAGCAGCCAAGGCTCAGAGAGGGGGAGTCACTTGCCCAGTGTCACACAGAAGTTAAGGGTAGAGCATGGAATCCAGATATGCCTAACTCTGAACCACTCTGCGATCCTGCCTCTTCAGTTCTGTGGACCCGAAACGGTGAAATAGGGTGTTTCCTCTTCCTCTTTTGATAAAAGGTGAGATTTCAAAATAAACTTATTTAAATTCAGCTGCTCATGTTCTCCCATGAAACATACAGTCAGATATTTGTCAGAGCTAAAGGACGAACCATCGAATATGTCCAGGTTTAAATTCTTTATTACTTAAGGCAGAATATGAAAAAAAAAAAGCGCGTACCTCTTCCCTCATTAACCCAATTCAGCTACTACCCTGCAGTCTGCCACCCACCACTTGCCTGGATTTTATTATACACAAAGAGCTGTCTGTGAAAAGGCAGGTCGTGGCGAACTTGGCTACCCAGCAAGGACTGCCGGAGTCTCGGCGAGAAAGAAAGGCCCGCTGTCCATCACGTTCAGACCCCATCACCTCCCACGGCTGCTCCCGCCTCTGCCCACC